GGAGGGGATAAAATCATAGTAGTAATTCAAAATAAGTTCATTTTTCGTTACTCAGTACTAAAAAGCACATGAAGCCTGATGTGTGTCTTCCCTAGTATATTTTATCTTCTGAATTATGTTTTGCAGTACTGGAATAAAAAAATATTAGGTTCTACTAGATCTGATCAGTTCTTCCTGCTAGTTTTAAATATACATATATGTGAATGTATGCTTGAATTTCCATAAACCATCCATCAGAGCGAAAACATTTATATCTTCTGCCAATAATGCCATTTTTGATGTACCAGATTCTATGTGACTATTGTTTACACAAAAGAGTAATCGCTTTTGACTTGGTATTGACGACTGGGGGACACTACAGTCGATCACACGAGCATGTATTCATAAATGCAAGTAAATCTCCTTTTTTAATTACAACCAACGGCTTTATTTTTAACTTGCTCTGTTTTCACAGATCCCAAGTCTCAAACATGGCGGGTGAAATATGGCAAAAGATTGGAGAAGGCTTTGTTCAGGAATATTACAACCAGTTTGACAATACTAACAGGATGGCGATTGCTAATCTCTATGTAAGCTTTACAGTCTAATTCTCATTGGTTATAATTACATCTTATGCCATTTTACACCATATAACCTAGTATTTTGAATACCTTATGTCTTTTTTTTAACCCTTCAGTCACCTAATGCTTGTCTAACATGGGAAGGATCGGCGTTTCAAGGGAAAGAAGCGATTGCCAACAAGCTAGCAGTGAGTATTTTTTTATAATAGTGTTGATGTGAATTTTAATCTATAGCCGTACAGTATGTTTCCTTTCTAGTCTGTCAATAGCTTTATTTTCCTTTAGCCATTTGAATCCTCATGTTTGTGCACATACTGAGCTGACCATTTCTAGGTTTGCACTCACCAACATCTCTTCTTATCTTTCTGCATTATCAATAGCAAATGATTCTATATTTTTTAGTATCTGATATTTAAATAGTCTTGTCTTTATTGACAGAGCCTACCTTTCAAGATGATCAAGCACATCATTACAAAGCAAGACTTCCAACCAACTATCGATAGTTGCATCCTCATCATGGTCTTTGGACAGTTAAAGGTAACTCAGCTATAAAAGTTAATCTATGCATAATTGTAAAATGAGTAGGCTGGGTCTGACTCTCTCTTTATTGACATTCTCTTTAGCGCAGCTGCATCTAGTGGATTTATAATGCTACTCCAGCCACTACTGTAGTGCACCTTATAGTGCAGTGCATTTTATATATGAAAATGTTAAGATAGTCAATTCGTTAAAGGTGTGCCTTATAGTGCGGAAAAGACGGTAATTTAATATGACATAATTAAAACTCAGCATCCAGCACACATGCCATTTCTGCCTAATCGTTTTTTATTTTTTTTTATTTTTGGTTTTTGTAAAAAGGATAACTGGAATCATACCAAATTGGTTTGTTCTGTACTTCCAAAATCAGCACATTTTCTTTTGAAGTTGTGAGATGCTCTCTTGTAAGCTATGACTGGATTTGAAGAAAAATTTAAGCCTTTCAGTATCGAATAAATATTTTGATCGAGATGACATATGTGCTTGCTGGTTTGCTGAAGTGCCAAGAGAATAGGAAATTTTAAACAGATGAGCTTTGAGTTGTGATTTGAAATGGAGAAGTGGGTAAGTATTTCTAAGTAGAGGTAGTAGAGAGCTCCAGAGACGGGTGGAACAGCGGCTGCATGCTCTGCCCCCCATGGTGATGAGACGCGCGGACGGACAGACAGGTGTAAAGCAGATGAGGATCTGAGAGCACGGGAGGGGGTGGGAACATGCAGGAGGCCTGACAGATATAGAGGGGCAAGGTGGTGAAGGACCTTGAATGTCAACATGAGAATTTTATATTGAAAACGGAACGGCACAGGTTAGCCAGTGGAGCTGTCCGAGGACCAGGATGCTGCGGTGGATAGAGGAAATTCTTGTTATAAGGCGAGCAGCTGAGTTCTGGACCAGTTGTAGTTATTGAAATGATTTCTGAGGAAGGCAAAGAGGAGAGAGTTACAAGATTCCAGTCGGGACGTGATGAGGCTGTAGCCAAGTATGGCTGCAGTGTCTGGAGTAAGGGAGGGATGTAGATGGCTGATGCTTCTTCAGTGGAAGTAGACAGACTGGGTAAAGTTTTTGATACGGGATTGAAAGGATAGGGTGCTATCGAGGCTGACACCTAGACTATCTAAAAATTATGCTCTAATTAGTAGTTAATGATCGGCCGTTGTTTTACTTTGACAAACCAGATGTTCATGACTTTCTTTTTCCTGTTTGATCCACAAGTTTCCAAAAATGAATTTGAACATTATTTATTAGTAGTTGTTTTTTTCAGGTCTATACTTTTTTTTTAACAAACTTCTTTTCTAGTTTCAGGGTTTATTTTTGTATGTTTGTTTTTTAAATAAACGTTATGGCCACAATTTAGCTCCATTGTATATTCATGTAATTTTTATTGAGGGATGCATCTAAGAAGTACTTGGTAAACCTGAGGGAGCTGCAGGTTCATGAGCTCAGATAGAAGAATCTGTCAGCGGTGTAACTTTTTGACTCCTCGTGAATTTAACTGTTGAAAGTAACCAAGCAGAGTCGTGTTTACAGTCTGCCATAAGCCATGTAAGGGACATTATACGAACATTAAAGGTTTTCTGGTCGTACGAAGAAACCTTTTTCTAGTACATATAAATTTCGTTTCCCATCAGTGAATTAATGCTGCACATCTACCTGAATGGACTGTTCCTAGGATAAAATGTGGTGTCAGCAGCAATCTGTGGATATGGCCTTCTTTAGCAGCAACAGGGAAAGTGGTCAGAACTGTTGTGAAAATAGTCGGACCTTTTGGTAAACCCAGAAGAAAACGTCTTAGAGACTGCAAAAAATGAGACCTGGGTAGGGATTCATCAGAACAAAAATGTAAATGTAAACAAGATATAAATGCATTGTTATTTAAACGTGTTATATTGATGTGTTACGGTGGTATATTCAAAGTCCAAATCTATCCATTTCAGAATCTGCTGTAACCAGCTTGTTTTAATCACAGCTGGATTATTGTGACACCATTCATTGATTTTCTTATCCCACTACCTTATCTGAGCTGGATCCTATTTGCCACACTGTTTTACGCTATATAACAGGCTAACCCTCACCAGATCTACCTTACCCAGTAACTGTGTAATGCAGCATTGGTATAGATTTATAAAGTAGGTTTTATGCTAACTTAAAATCTCCCATTTTAGGTCAACTGTCATCTTACTCCACTCCCTTTAGTGTGGAATCTCGCTTTTCTTTCATCGGTCTTAGAAAAGTTGTCTGAAGTTTTAGTTAGCTTTCATCTTAACTAGCAAGTTCTGTACATATTTTCTTATACCATGAGAAGATGTATACTTTTAAATGTTAAATTTTTAGTTTTTCAACAAAAAATGTAATGGTTTGCTGATATGTTTTGCATTGTGTCTTTTGCTTATTATCTTGACCAGAAAATCTTGATACAAGAGATTAATAATTTTAATATCTTTCTTTGATGGAAATATACAATTTTTCTGTCTTTCACTTGCAATACCTTTTATAATTTATTAATCTGTTCTAGTGATGCAGCTGTCATTTAGAAGACCTTTTCAACTATTCTTGCTTGTATTTAATGAGGTTGAACATTGATTATTTAAATTGAATAATCTTTCTTTGTCTCGGAACAGGCAGACGATGATCCACCAATGGCCTTTCATCAGGTGTTTATGCTGAAATCCCAAAACGGTGGATGGGCTTGCACAAATGATGTGTTTCGTTTGGGGGTGCACAATATACCGGTTTAATGATCTAGATCCCTCATCCATAATAAAAAACTGTTCTAAGTTCACTTTATTCTCTATCTTCGATTGAAACAGAAATCTGTATGTAAAGTTTAATCAGTAAAAATGCTATCATTGTTGTGTGGCTGCTATGAAAGTAACATTCCTGTCAAATTAAATTTAAAGAAAAGGACAATATAAAAGTTGTTTTTTCATTTTCGTATCTAAATTTGTTTTATTTGAAAGTTTCATATGTTATTTATTTTTTTATTGCAAAAAAGAACATGCATGAACAATATAGAACATTATAAATTAAAAACATACAATAAAGGGCTTTACAGAACAGAACTATTATTTTAAAATGTCAAAATCAAATTTATGCTCAAGGGTTATAATTCTTTAAGGGCAGTTATAATTTGCATGGCTTTAGCATTTGAGCAAAAATTTTAAGGATTCTATATAGATATTAATAGAAGATAATAAAATCTGGAAATTAGGTTTTTGTTGTAAATATTTTGAGGTGTGAATATGATTTGCATTTACCATAAATAATAGAAAACTTAATAACATATAAAAATTCTGTTTTGACAAGTTCACATTTTTCCATCCTAAACAAAACATCCTTATCTGTTAAAGTAATGGTAAGATTTTTTTGTTTTTAAATTGACATATCTCTCCAAAATATTTTGGTATAATTACAATCCCAAAAAAGATGAATAAGCTTTTCTTCATTTTTACAAAAAACACACATCGGGTCCAAAAACAAAATTTTTTGTTAAGGAGCAACATAGTCCACTTCCAAATTTTAAATTCTCAAAAGTGTTGGACCAATAAAATATACAAGCTGGTGAAAAAACATCTCGTAATAGAAAATTCCTTAACCTTTTGTTGGTTGTTTTCTTACTAAAAGCACTATCATAATCAATATAAATGGAGTTTGGATCAAAACAGTAAATTTGACGTGTGGGTAAAGATGATAAAAGCTTTAATTAGTTAACCAACTAGGGATTACGTCGAACAACGAACGGCATATTCTTTAGGGGTAACAGGAAACTTGAAAAGTGACATAAAGTCAGAATAAGACAATAAATGATCATTTGGATTCAGTAAATGGCTTACAAGTAGTTTCATAATATGTTACATATTATGAATATGATTGTTACGTCACATGTCCCGTATCTGACCGCCAGGGGCGCTGTGGCGCACCGTATGGCACATTTAAAGCGACATTACAAGGCTGTTCAGTTCTGGTTATAGAAACGAGCTCCAGATAGCAACAAAAGCCTTATTCCTGAAACATGACGCCGACTGTAAAGAAGTCCTCCTCTCAGGTAAACGGGAACTTAAACATATAGCTGCTAACTATATATAAAATATCTGTAAACCGTTTGCTACGTCGTCTTTATTTTTAGCGTGGTGACATTTAATGATTAAAGGCTTCATGAGGAACAGCACTTATTTAAATTCGTTCAAGATGTTAGGTTTTTGTGAGGCGCAAGTGTAAAAAAAAAAGAGATTTTTATTTATATCCGCCTATGTTCACCTTTCGTTTAGTGTGGGTTTATTTATTGTCTGATTAAACTCTTGAGGTTAAAGCTAAATGATAGCTACAGTTCAATGAAAATAAATGTTAAGAAGTGTTTTGTAAGCATTTAAAAGGATATTTGGACAATAACGTCTGTTGGGGAGACTTCAACGTCTTCTTTGTTTTGACTCAGTGCGCATGCGCGTAAGTTTTTTTTTAATTGAAGAACATTGTTTGTAAATTACACAGGAAAGCAATGAAAACTTGAGTGAATCTTTTCAGAACGGTTTCGAAGGAGATTATCGGGGCCATGAAGCTGGTATCAACGCCGAGGACGAACCTCTTCTCCGGGAGAATCCCAGGCGGTTTGTCGTGTTTCCCATCCAGTATCCGGATATCTGGAAGATGTACAAACAGGCACAGGCCTCTTTCTGGACGGTAGAGGAGGTAATTGTTAATTAATTATCTAACATTCAAATTTCATATTTAAACAAATTAAAATTTTAAATAATGTATCTGCACTTTACATTGGTAACAATTACAGAATCATTTACCTTTGATCTCATTAAAACCACCCAAATGATCTTATATATATATATATATATATATATATATATATATATATATATATATATATATATATATATATATATATATATAATATATTACCTGTCAAAATTATTCACACCTCTTGAACAATATGCTTGACTTGAATGTTGAATTGAATCTTGAGTGCTAAATGTTATTTAAAATGGGTTATTTTATTTATAAAAAAAAAGTAAAAGTAAAAGAGTAACATTTATATTTTACAAACCCAAGGTGAGTCCTTCCTGCATTTGTGACAGGTATACTTTGTGCAGTGCACACAACGCTCAGTGCTGTGGTTCCTGTTGCAGAGATTGCACACCTGGCCTGCTTATAATAATAATGAAATATACTAAAAAAAACTGAGTTTAGCACATTTTCCCAAAGTAAGAGTTGTAGTATGAACTAGATGAGGTTATCTATGTGTGCTACAAGTTTTGTGGTTCTACGATGGTCTATAGTGTAATTATTGGCTATTATATGCTTATAATAACAATGAATTAATCTCCAAAAATAAAGTTTAGCCTATCTTCCCAAAATAAGGAAGAAAATAATGTTAGAACTGTAAATATACAGTCATATTTCTATTTTACTATTTTGTTATGTTTTTATTACTTTTTTCAATGCTGCACTTTAAAATATGAAATTGTCTAGAACTGTTCTAAACTAAATTTCTTTTTGTTTACACTCGTGTATACAAAGTCTAATATTTACGGTTTGCTTTGTTAAAACTAAATATTTGAATAGGATTTTATGGATTGGACCAAACTCAAACTAATAAGTCTTAAGTCTGCTTAAAATGAAGGATGTTTTATCCAAACCTCTCTTCAGATAAAATCCTAAAAATAGTTGTTTGCATTTGTACACAACTGCAACTAATCGTTATGTAAAACTGCTTTGGTGCAGTAACTGGTCCACCAAAACAAAACAGGCTTACCAAAATTACAATTACATAAGTTTAGACACAAATGATGGAGAGCATCTATAATTGACCATTTCTGAGTCACGGCACGGACTTCTGATTGAATTCTGACCTGGAACTTAATTATATCATTGTGACACATCAATATGCCTTGATCTAAATGTTCCATTGTAGCACAGTATTTGTTTAGGTTTATTATCTTGCTGTGATCTAACACTTTGTCCCACTCTGAGGTCTCTTGCAACCTTGCATAGGTTTCCTTCCCATTTTAGCCCCGTACATCTTCCCATCTGCTCATACCGGCTTCACTGTTTCATATAGTGGTACCACCTCTGCTACACAGTGGTGTTTTCAGATGCTCCTTCTCTTTGATTTACCTCTAATAAACAATCTATTTATCCATTTTGTCATTTGAGGTGATTGGTATCTCTGGGTTAATTTCCAGTTGTGCCTATCTAGTTTTGAAGGCTGGATTAAACTTTAAACATCCCTAAGATGTTATTCCACACCTTTCTGCTGTGGTTATTGTTCTCCATGATGCTGTTTATAATGTTCTCTTGAGAACCTCTGCAGTTTTCTCAGAACATCTGGATTTATATTCAGATTACTTCAAACACACAAGTCAACTATTTCCCAAAGAGATAACTGCCAAATGCAGGTGGTTGTGTAGTATTTTGTTTTAATTTATCAGAGTTAAGGGCTGAAAACCAACATTTTGGCTCTTTTGATGGAAAAAAAAAGTTTTGAAAACCTTTTCTTGCTCTGCGTTGTTGGTTTGATACATAAAATCCCCATAAAATACATTCAAAATAGTTGATGACCAAATGTGAAAAGATAGGGTTGTGAATAGGGCTGGGTAAAAAAACCGATTTAATCGATTTTAAATCGATTCCTTTACATTTTTGCAAAATCGATGTCTAGGGAATGAGATGGATTCATTTTATAGTGACCCGCGTGACGTTCATATTTAAATAAGCAGGAAAGATGCACTCAAGATTACTTCCAGCCAGACAGCTGCAAATATAGCCAATAGGTTGACTGAAGATATTAACAAATGGGGGCTGACCAGAAAACACCCTGTAGCTGTTACAGACAACACTGCACAAATGGTTTGTGCAGTGGAGATAATGCAGCTCATGCATGTCTACTGTTTCACATCTGTTTGCTCGAGTGAGGCTTCACTTTTTCACTTTTCACAAACAAGTTTTCAGTTTTGAGACAGTTTAGTTCACATCTCATATTTAAACTGTCTGATTTACAAGTTTGCACTTTGTGTTTAATATGACAGGAAAAAATAAAATACATGATCTTGAAACACAGTTGAACCACTTTCATTATTGTAAAAACAGATCGAATCGAAATTAATCGATTTAGAATTGAATGAATCAAAATCGAATCGATTCAGGACTTTGACAAAAATACCCAGCCCTAGTTGTGAATCATGCAATTCAATCAATACCTTCATACAATTTAATGCATGAAAGAAATTATCAAATTTTATTATGTATTTACAAGGACATGGAAGTACCGTATTGTTAATTATTACCCTTAAAGGAACTCAATTTTAGTTTTATAACCATTGCGTAAACATAAGTGCATATAACTCTAGTTGGTTGTCGAGATACCTTTGAGTTCTGATTAGTTATTCAACAAAAGCGTAACTGGTTAGATTGGTTCCATTGTTATGCCACATTGGCAACGGGTCAGAGAACGCAAAGGGGAAAGCTGCCAGATTTCCTTATACAGATAGCCATGTTTAAGTTTAAGTATAAATTTTCCCGTTGCCACAAGTTGTAAGGTTGACGATCAGACTCATTGGGTAGATGGCAAATTATTATTGAATTAAATTGAATTAGAAAAACATAACGAATAAATAATCTAGAACTATAACAGATATATTGCACATTCAAAGGTATGTCACTTTCTGCAGGTCACATGTCCTCAACCTAGGATATAAAGTAAATGCTAAAACAGCATTTCCTAATTACACAACATTTCCACCCTATTAAAGGTACCATTGTGGAGGCACCACCCTTTAAAACCTGCCAAAGCAGTCGGTGCAGGAGGAGTGACTGTGCTGCTAAATGCAGACATGTCAAACCAGCCTCCAGTAATTACCTGTTGGGAGCAATTGATGCGAATGCTGCTTCAATGTTTTTATTTTTTAAACCATAACTGAAAAGTAAATAGTGTGTTGTGTACTTTTAGATAAACAGACATATAGTCTCTATGAGAATATAGCCTTCTGTAAATCTGAATCAGACTTTGTCCTCTTCCAGGTTGACCTCTCCCATGACTTGGTGGACTGGGGCCATTTGAAGCCTGATGAGAAACATTTTATCTCACATGTCTTAGCCTTTTTTGCCGCCAGTGATGGTATTGTCAATGAGAACCTGGTAAGAAATGGGTGTTTTATTCCTGTAATAAATACCTAGTAGTTTAAATTAGCAAATTAGCCTTTCATTAAATCTATAACAGCTAAATTATTCAATAGTGGCAGTTTTTGGAACCCATTTTCTGCTCAGTGAAAACTGATTATTGTGTGTTTTTGTGAATGTAACCAGTGGAAAATTTCCTCATGTGGTTCAACGTTTTTTTTGGGGGGTTTCAACAGGTGCAGAGGTTCAGCCAGGAAGTGCAGCTTCCAGAAGCACGCTCCTTCTACAGCTTCCAGATCCTCATAGAGACGGTTCACTCAGAGATGTACAGCATGCTTATCAACACCTACATAAAGGATCCTAAAGAGAGGTCAGCTACCTATTCCAAGTGTTATTTCTTTGTTTTATTTTGCCCTCTCACATCACTTCTAGGTTTCGGAACACACAGATTGATTGCTCTTATTGAGCAAATACCTGAACATCATCTTGATTTTCAAAATAGTTTATTAAAGACGGCTATATATCCTTAAAAGCCTCTATATACTAAAGTATTCCTGAGAGTATTTATTTGTATATGTGTGTATATCATCAACTGCACACATTAGATCAATTACTGGGCTTGTAGAAGTTTAGTTAGGTAATCAAAGCCTAACGATTGAACATTAAATGCACAAATATAAGCAGCAAATATAACCATTATGCACTCGGTATACTCATCTATAAGAGAAGATAGCTCCTGAAAATATCTGGATTGCTCACAGGCTTGAGCTCCTCTGGGCTTTGCACCACAGCGGAGCAGGCATAATCTAAATTAGGATAACGCAGGGCAGAGAAGAGCTGTACTAAGTGTTAAGTGTGGGTTAGGTTGCAGGTCAGAACTCCATTACAAAGTTTTGGTTGACACAAAAAACATGCACTGTCCTTTACCAAAAGAATGTCATACTCCGTTAAAGATAGTGGCTGCATCCTGCTTTCACAGAAGGAACTGTGGTTCTTAGATTTGACCCAAAATGCCCAAGTGTCTACTTTGGAGGCTGAGGGATTTTAGGTTTTACAGTAAATTAATAACACCAATTTAATTTATAAAATAATTTCTTTAGAGAGAATAATGGAACATTAGGAATCATCAAAAGTAAGAAAAAAAATCTCTAAAATCTGTGGGCTTATCTGAAAAAGATGGTATTCTAATATAAGAGACAGTTTGTAAATGTAATATCCAGTAAGAATAGGTGTATCTTATATATTTTTTTTATTTCTTACAGATTTTTTTTTTTTTTTCAGTTAAACCTCATTATATTGCAGCCATTGCCTTTGTCTCAGTCACTGTTTCACTTTACATCTGTGTTTTAGGGACCACTTGTTCAACGCTATTCAGACCATGCCTTGTGTGCAAAGAAAGGCGGATTGGGCCCTCCAATGGATAAATGACGACCAGTCCACCTTTGGTAGGCCACGAAACTTCCAAAAAGATCACTAATAATTGAATTCATGTAAAACAGCAACCCAGACTAGAGGAACATCTTTCTTTTGGTAGCTTAATAGCTTTCATGTCTTTGTCCACAGGGGAGCGACTGGTGGCTTTTGCAGCTGTAGAGGGGATCTTCTTCTCAGGCTCATTTGCTGCCATCTACTGGCTAAAGAAGAGAGGCCTCATGCCCGGCCTTACCTTCTCCAATGAACTCATCAGCAGGGATGAAGTGAGGAGGATACAGATTCTTTTTGTTTGAACTGTTGAAATCCTTATTTTTTTTTTTATAACCTGGAAAAGTATTGGGATGTAGCAGAGAAAATGTCATAAATAATGGTTTATTCAGAGTATTAAAAGGTACTACCCATTCCTCTAAAAAATAAATCGAGTAATTACTAAATATTTTCTCATTTATTTTTTAAATGTGAAGAAGAAACTCAGCATTTCTGCTTATCCATGTTAGCTTGGGGTCTGAATAGTTTAATTAAAGTACTGGGAACAACATGAGATTTGTTGTATTTAATTTCTATTGTTAGATATTTTGTATACCTGGTTATAATTTCTATAAAAGCATATATCATTGTTAAAGACGTATTGTATTCTCTGTCTTCATATATTTGATTATTTTTTTGTAAAACAATTTAACTTATGTTGTGTCGTGAATAAAGTAGAATTTCTTTTTTCTTTTCCCAGGGTCTGCACTGTAACTTTGCCTGCCTGCTGTACAGCTACCTGGTAAAAAAGCCTTCAGAGGAGAGAGTCAAAGATATTATTGGCAAAGCTGTTTGCATTGAGCAGGTCAGATAATGTTATTTCATATTGTAGGATTTTGTGGCCTTTATGTTTTTCATGCCGCATCGTTTTGGTAAATCATTTCTCTGTGTCCTGTGTTTTAGGAGTTTTTGACGGATGCCTTACCGGTTGATCTTATTGGCATAAACTGCTGTCTCATGAAGCAGTACATCGAGTTTGTTGCCGACCGGCTGCTTATTGATCTCGGATTGGCTAAGGTACTCATTTAAGGAATAATAAAACGCAATTAAGTCAATATATCAATGTGATTTTGTCCTGTAATTAATATAATGGTATAAAAGTAATGGTATTGAAATGGTGAAAAGAAAATATATTCATGAATTTCTTTATTTGAAATGTGTATTTTTGTGGAAAAATAACAAATTTATCATTCTCTCTTATCTTTGTTGTCCTTAAATAGGTTTACAATGTGGAAAATCCTTTTGACTTCATGGAGTCCATTTCTCTAGAGGGAAAAACAAATTTCTTTGAGAAAAAAGTAGCCGAGTACCAAAGATTTGGAGTGATGTCTAGCATGGACTGTGAATTCACTCTGGACGCAGACTTCTGAGGCCACGAGGACGGCATCTTTACAGTCATCGTTTGAAAAAAACAGCAGCTCCCTGGATACATCTAGAAGTTTTCTTTATCTAAACATTAAAAACAGATTTTCTTTGATAGATTTTAAACTGGGTGAATTTTAGCTAAGATTAATACCAAATTATATATTATAAATATTATGCTAAAGTAAAAGGGATTTTCTTGTGGTTGATTGAAGGTTATATCTTTTTTTTATATCTTCTTTAGGTAATGAATTGTTTCAGGTTTAAGCTGATTTGTTGAACCTTAAAATCAAATGGTGCTCTTACTTTTCTTTATGAGGTATTGTTACATTTGATCTTTTTATTTATTTATGGAAAATTTAACGTTGAGTAAAACTTGCCAAACCATTTTTGCACTATTATTTGTCCATACTTATATTCTGTTGACAAAAAAGTGAAGGTTTATTATTATTTAGAATTAACAACCTATATAAGAATAGTGGGATACAAATAAAGTCCTTAATTTTTTTTTCTCTTTGTTTAGGTTTTTTTTTATTTATGCTTTAGCTTTTTCCTTAAACATTTAATGTGAGTCTAACAAAACTAAACCCCACTTTGACATTAAACTTTTTTTTCTATCAAATCTGAATGTAATGCAGTTTGCTGTTCTAGGTCATGGCTTGGTTTTGCTCTAGGCTTTTATATTGTTCAATAAAATAAAAGTTTTTAGAAAAAAATCAACTTTTGCCGACAGATCATTTTTGTGATGGCGTTTAAAGCTACTATCTAGGTAAAAATCTACCATTAAGAGAAACCACACAAGGCCTCTGGTAAGATTTAGGTGTTTTTCTTCTCTTTTTTTATTTTTAATCCAGGAATGAAACTCTTAACTACCAATAAAGGCAATTCTAGGAGCAGAGGTTTGGGGATGCTGACCACAAAGAGAACTATCCTGCTAGACATGATAAATTTCACTTTTCTACATTTTTTAAAACTTGCTCAATGCCAAGGATCTGAGGATTTTGCCAAATACCCAACAGGTAAAGCAGCACTTTTTAAAGAATATTCCAACCATTTAAAGCTTTTGTACTAGTTTTCATTAAAAGGCTTTTCAGTGTGCCAAACTGGATGACTGGGAACTAGAACAGTTCTGTTAATGACCTGTAGTCTTAAATCAAAAGGCAGAATTTGAGGTCCTTTGGCTTGGTGGTTGGCATGCTGCTCTCTCAGTGCCTCCTCTCCTCCTCTTTCCCTGCTCTTCTCCTTCTCATATCCCTGTTGTTCTGCTTGTACAGTGAAATTAAGCCAGTAGTAACGCATATAGATAATAAATAATAGATAATAATAGAAAATGTACTAAAGATGTCTTGTTTAGACAAAAGTTCACTGATATATTAAGTTTATGGGCGCTAAAATGATTCACTGAATGGAAGGCTTTGTCAGCTTAACTGCTGTTTGACTTGCCACTATTCTGTTTTTTTTTCTTATCAACTTTTTTCTGACCCTTGCACTTTGTACACACCTTGCTCCTCTGTACAACCCTCCCTCTTTTGGCGGGCTATATTAAAATCAATTCTATTTAACTTGATGAATATATACAGCTGTTCTTGAAGGTTAAGACACACTCATATTAAAGAAAGTGATACATAACAGTAATTTAGAATCAAGAAATAAAAAAAATATTTAAAAAAATAAGTAAATTATGATTTAGTATATTTAAAATGTTGATTTTGAATTTTTTTTTTAAAGGAACACAAAAAGTTCCAAAAACTAGAACATCTTGCTCATGAACATTCAAGAAGTGCAGAAATGTGATTGCAGTGATTCCCCCAAAGGTATTACTCAATATTTTGTTGTAAGAGCCTCATTAAGCTTGTTTACTTGTTTTGTTGTTTATTATTAATATGTTTGATGAACCACAATTCAAAATTATTCTAATTTTCATAGAATTTTCTTTTATCACTTTTTTCAAAGTTTATTTATTTCAATGGCAGATGATTTCTCCCATTTTTAATGGATGGTTGGATGATGGATTAAACCATTTCTTGCGCGGCGGTAGGGGGGTTAAAGTATTACTTTTAAAAGGAAGTGCTGTATAGTTTTTACACATTATTTATTTCATTAATTTTTTATTATTATTTTTAAAGGCGCACACAGAAAAAAACTCCAATTTTAGGGATGCTTTGATTTTTTTTTTTTTTTTTTTTTTCGATTTAGGGTTTCCTAAATTACCAAGCTGTGTTTTCGGTGTGTATTTTCCTGGAAGACATTAAACCCTGCTGGACGGAATGTTTAAGTGTTCTGAGTGGAGTTTTGATTTCCTGCTGTCAGGTTAGATTAGCCACTCCTCCGATACGGATGCTGGGTAAAAATGAAAGCTAACAGCTAGTGGTTAGTTTGAATCCATTCTGTTAAATATGGCTGGGGACTTTCGGGGTTTAGCGCTGGAAAAAGCTGAGCTTCTCTCCAGTCGTTTAAGGGAGCTGGTGTCGTCCGGACAAGGATTCGTTCGGGCCCAGTTCGGAGTGGATTTGGGTCTGAAACCAGAGCTTTACCCGAGCTGGCTCATCCTGTCCACAGCTGCTGTGGGTCTGTTGCTGCTGCTGGGGGCTTCCTGGGCCGCCGTCTGCTGCGGCGGAGGAGGAGGGCTGCTGGTCAGCAAGAAGCGAGCCTACCATGTCAGCCAAGGCGGCGAGGAGACGAAGACAACCAGCCTGAACAATAAAAGTGTCAAACCGGAGGAGCAGAAGAAGAGGAACAAAAAGAAAACCGGTGACAAGGTAAGAAAGTATGAATGAGCTGCTGCGCTGACAGATTTAAACTCGTCAATATGATTTTTATTTTATTTTTTGTTGCTATTTTTAACTAAAACTGCTCTCTCCAGTGGGGTAAAGTTAATTACTTTAACTAATCATAGCTATATTTTGAAGCTAACATTTGATGCTAGTTTACTTCCCGTAGAATTAACCGGGCATTAGCTTGAACCTCACTAATTTACACTTTATAGATAAATTGGAAACTATATATTAAACAAATATTAGAGCAATTGACTTAACAATTGTGTTGTGCAAAAATTTTCTGTAGTAAAATAAATGAACAGAGAGATGCTAACTAGCTATGTGTTGCTAACCGACACGTCATTGTAACGTCAAGTAGTAGCCTCCATTAATAAATCTGTGTTGTTCAGGTTATTCAAGCAGAGGTTCACACATTTTCAGACAAAATAGTATCAAAGTTGACTCATGATACAAACACTTCTTCTGAATCAATAAACTCTGGTCTAATAATAATACAAAGATCAATAACTATAGTATCTATTGCTAATTTTAAGTTATGCTGTCATATCCTAAAGCATTAACATAAATACTAGGTTTTACGTTTAATTTCTGATGTGGATCTTAAGACTCCATACTGGTTGATCAAGGGCCCCAACTTTGGGTATCAGTGCCCTAAAGCAACATATTGCTTTGTAAGATAAACCAGCATCCCATATTTCATACATAGAGACCAGTGTTTACACACATAACATTTAGAATAATTTAGGGAGGAAAAAAACTAAACAAATACTGTATTAAAAGGTTAATAAAAGATCTTTTTGCATTAATATCTTTTAATCCCATGCAAACAATTATACCTAGATATTTTATTTAAAGTTAAAGAATGACTGGGATGAGGCAGGAATGGAAAAATCTGTAACATTATAATTTATTTAAAGTGCATTGTATTGAAAACTGGGTATCAATTGCAATGAACCTTTTATTTTTTTCCCCCTGTTGACTATCAGCCTAAGGATCTTAATTACGGTCTGTGCCAGGTCGCCAATGTGTTGTTGGCAAGCAGATTGTTGATGCACTGTTGACCAAATACTTTATCTAAGCAGATATTGATTTTGCAATGGCGACCTGGAATCGTCTTTAGGTTTTCATTCCCATAAGTAAAACTGAGGCATTGAGTAGTTTGGAAACCTTTTTTTTAATCACAAACCAATGTAAAAACTTCTTCAACAGTCTTAACCTCAGTCAATGGCGTAATGACACAACAATAAGCAACGTTATCTGGGTGGGCTCCATGTGAAGTATAACACGTGATCAAGGTTCAGGATATGGCGACAGTTCCATAACAGCTTTTTCTTTTCTGGAATCCGCTTAAGTACCTCTTTTTGGTATCAATCGTCGCTAACACATTGTGCGTAAAGGTTATGGTTTTAATCTACGCTCTGGGTTTCCCATAATTCCAAGTCGTAGTGTAAAGAATAAAATACTCAAATACATTGTTCTTTTAAGATCTTTATTGTGCTTTCAAACATATTATGAGTGTATTTCTTACTAACCGTCTACTGAACTACCGTATATACAGTTATTAACTTAGTAATTAAAAGTACCACTGTCTGCTTTGCTATTGGTGTCATAAATGGCTCACCATCATGTTGAAATCTGGCATGTGTTGCGGTATAAATACGGTCCGGTGCGGTAAGCAAATGTCTTCTCTACTCACCGATATTTATGTAATTGACTTCAGTAGTTTATATGTTGGTTTGTTCCCATACCTGCCTCAGCTCTTCAGATAACTTTTGATAGATAATGACCACTGTAGACTGGGAAGAAAGATCAAGAGCTTCAATTTTCCAGATGATGTAATGCAAAAATGTAACCATCATATCTGGCCGTTGTTAAACTTAAATTCTTCTGCTTAGCTATTTAGTCTCTGTCTAACAAATTATTTCAGAAAAAAATGTTTGCTTGGTTCTGTTATGTTGCTGTCACTCCAGTGAGGAAGAGATGCTATTATATACTTTGTCAGTTATCATGTCACACAATGTTTTAAAACGTGTGTAGATATTTTATACAAACAAACAATAGCTTGTGTTTCAATCATTGCCTTTCCATTACAGAAGACTCAACCCAATGGACAGCCATTGGTTGCTGCTCAACAGGAAGTTAAAGAGACTGAGACCTTGTCCAAACCAGCCCCACCATTAAAAGCTGAGAAGGTATGACCCCATTACAGAGGAATTGACACTGTTATTCTTTTAACAAGTAAGCTGTAAGTTTAACTTTAAGTCAATGGTATACTATCAAACATGGATTGGCAGAAGGCAATAATCAAAGTTGTTTTTCATTGTTGTTGTGTGTTTTATTTATATATTTATTTATTTTAATCTCAGGTGCATGAGGTGCAGGCTCCGGCGCAGTTGAAAAAAAACAGGAAGAAGCCCAAGAGTGATGCAAAACCAGTTCAGCTTTTGTCCACAAGTGATGGGAAAGAACCTGATGATGGTAAATATGTTTTTAAAAACATGTCCTGCCCAGTTCTTTGCCATATTAATACCTCTTAGACCTTTTAGAATTTTGTGACATCGTACAAATGCACAGTATCCTACCCTGACTGTATCTGCTACACCAACGCAGAGTTGCATATAATTTTGAAGGTAAAGGAAAATTACGCTTTCTTTCAAACGGTGTCTCAGGGGTTTGGTAGAGCAGATTAGGGAACAAACATAGAAATGAGGACCAGAAGATACATCAAACAGTTCAGCAATTCCATTCAGAAAAGCATATTCATTTCCAGATTTAACAATTTGAGTGCAGTTATAGCTCTGATTACATTTTTAAAAAATCAACTCTAAGTTGCAAATAAGAGCCACATTTTAGGGATTAGCCCCTCCCATGTCCAAGAATAGATAAGCTCCTGAATGGCTGTGAAATACCCAACCTGTCAGTCAGCTTCCTCTATAAAGTGGTTCCTTTTTTCCCCTCTGTTAGCTTTCAACAGTTCCAGGATGATAACCTTAAATGTCTAAACCAGCCACCCATTGTTATGGGCCATCACATCAGTAGGATCTCTAAAAGGAATACAAATATTCACCCTTTATACATTTTGGTACTCAATATCTACTGTCCTGCAGGTTTTAGATTCCTCCCTGCTCCAAACATAGCAGAATCAAATGAACAGCTTGTTACCAGGCTTTTGCCAAGCTTAATGGCATGTAAAGAGGTAATTAGCTGTGTTGGAGCAGAGATGCATCTAAAATCTGCAGCACAGTAGATCTTGAAGACCAAGGTCAGATACCCCTGTCTTATGCTTTATGGAAGCTTTTCAATAGGAAACACTCAGGAATATCTGAAGAAGTCAATGTGACTGTTTGTCATAAGCCACGTTACAGACCCTGTTAACTTTTGAAATGAGGCACTGTGGTCAGATAAGACCAAAATAGACAGCTTGGCCTACATTCACATCTCTATGCAGTGCATAAAAACCAACACTACATCCTGAACACATCCCCCACGTGGTGAAACACGGTGGTGGTAGCATCATTTCACAAGGATGATTTTCTTCAGAAAAAAGCCCAACAGCAGGACAGAAATGCACCTAACTCTCTTATGAAAGAAGCTAGATGAGCAAAATTACATGTTTCATGGGAAAGTTAAATCTGGACCTAATTACATGGAAGAAGCTGTGTCATCTGATCTAGATTTTCACGTGCCGAGTTGTGGTGCATTGTAGAAAGCTGAATAAAGGCGGCTGCGGCAAAGTTCCAGCTAATAATTCGTCCCCCAAGGCAGGACTGTAGGTCCTCAAAGTACTGCTAAAAGCCACCACCCTCCAGACACGGCTCATGGAGTAGATCTAACTGGTTCATTGTCTGGAGAATCTGGTCAACACAGAGACGCGTTGAATCACACCTATTTTATGACCTTTCCTATATCATGTCTAAAACATGTTGTTTTAGTCTGTTATCTTCTAACCCTAATGGCACAGAATTTACCCCTAAACCTAAAGAAGTCTGTGGTGAAAGGTATGCAGCGTCCCCTTGGGTCAGAGTATGGCGTTACGCCTCTAAACAGCAAAAGAATATCCTCCGATTCGTTTATGCCGTGCAGCAGCAGAAGTGGAGTGACTTTAAAAGGAAAAAAATGTTTTTGTTAATACATTTTTATTTTTAGATTGGACGGTTTTAAAGTTAATTTTTGTCACTTCTGCTTCTACATTCTTTTACATCCAAGTCAAATGTTCAGTATTTTATTCATCATTTGATTTAACCAACAAAATGAGCAACCTTGGAAAGAAATTAAAAAAATGAATATGGTGGTTTGGATTATCTGTAGATAGCTTTATGCACATGTTTATGACAAAATGCAGCTTTAAAATAAAAAAATTTAATATTTCTGTTAATGCATTTTCATGTGCAAATTTGACATTTCAAAATGAATTTGAGTCACTTTGCTGACCAATCATATGAAAATGAAATGTAAAAATAATTTTATTCAAACTATATTGCACAGTTTAAACGTATTTCTAAATTACGATAAATTGTTTTGGTCCTATTCTTACATATGTTTTTTAGGATCTGATGGTGAAAATTAATAAACTTTGGATATCAGGAATGTTTTAGCTCAATAACCATTCCTTGCTTTCAAGGTGTATGGGAGACTAAAGTCAGCAATCGAGAGAAGAGGCAACAGCGAAGGAAGGACAAAGGTTCAGAGGGTTCTGGGAGTCCAGGAAGTGTTGAAGCTTCCAAGCCTCATGTGGAAACCCCCACAGCCCCAATAACCAACAAGAAGAAAAGCGGAAACAATGGTAATCATCTGCTGAAGATAAGAATTGTTCTAATCATTTGTTCCAATAAGGGAAATCTGTGCACCCAGGTTTAGTTATGGCTTCTTTATTTCAACTCATTATCACATGGTTCAGCATGATATAAGTTTAACAAATGCCTTGTTTCAATTTTTTTGTTTTATACAGAGAACCAGCATTCAAGACCAAGCGCAAAGGGAGACCCATCCAGTGGTAAAGGCAAAGCTGAGACATTTAGCTGTATGTATTTTTACCTAGTTTCTAATGGGTTTTGACATGTTGTATCCAACTGTTGGGAAGATAATCTTACTAAAAAAACACATACATTTTATGCATCATGTACACATAAATGTTACATCTATTTTGCTTAGTTTTCAGCAAACAAAACTGCATTAAGTTCAACAGAAATAGCATAGATATTTTAGGTGACTTTAGCTATGCCTTTGCCTCTTTTTCATCGTGTGCTGTTTTAGCGTCTTCCACATGGAAAGGGGAGCCCACCGTCAATGGTGGAGCCTGGGCCGACGGCTCATTGAAGGTCACTGGTCAGAGTGGATCTGCTGAAGAAGCGAAGTGGAGCTCCATGTCTGCATCGGTACGATACCGGCCCCAGACCGACCCCAAGCCCTGGGCTCAGGAGCCTCCAGGTACCACCATGTTACTCTCACATGCCTTCATTTATCTTAGTAGGATTTTTGAATAGTAAATGGATACATGTGCTGCATGAATCAACTCAAAAATACTTTATTAGTTGAAATAGGGATTGAATCATACATCTGGGATCAAATTCTTCCACCAGAGCGATGAATCTCTGCAGCTCCATTGGGCATTTCTATAGGCCTCTTGTTTTATAGTTAATACGCTTAATTTCCAAACTCTAAAGTTCAGCTGGACGCACATGTTAGAGTAGTTTGTGCCCTACTTCTTCCGCTTGCAGATAATGGACTGAGCAATGCTTAGTAAGCTGTTCAAAGTTCAGGATATTGTTATCTTCAGTTTACTCCTCGAGTTGTCTGCTTCATTGTTTAATCCTTTGATTCTCTAAACAATATTTAATGCCTTCCCAGATCAGCTATTTATACTTACCATTAATCAAACACAAGTGAAGTCCTTTGGCTCTTTTGGGAATGCTAAAGGCAATTGATTGCAATCAATTTCATTATAGTTGTGTCATGGTAAAGTGTGCAAATAAAAGTGTATACTTTACATATGGGCTAGGTTTTATGACCCTTTAAGGCCCCGTCCACACAAAGTCAAAACGAACACGAAACGCTAATATTTTCCAGAACGTTTTTCGTAAAGACAGAGACGTAAAATAAATGTGATCGTCCACACGAATACATGAAAACGCTGCAAAATGTATGCCAGGCCTGTAAGTGGCGCTGTCGTGCCAAAGCAAAAATAGGCGACGAAATGTTGGGCATGCGCACTAATATTTATACATGGTTGCCCTGCGGGTCCATTTTCGTGCTTCAGTGAAATTCAGGTGCTGAACTATGTCGTCAATATTGCTCTGTTCTTCCTGGAGATATTCCAGAAGAAGAAGATTCTGTTGTAAGCCCGACAGCAGGGTGAGTAGCATGAGCAGCAACCATTCAACACATTACGGCGCCATTGTTGTTGTGATACTGTGTCGCGCATGCATGTTTAGAGGCGACGCTATGACGCATGCGTGTAAAAAAAAAAAAAAAAAATTGCGGTTAGAGCTTAAAGATGGAAACGCGAAAACGGCGTTTCAGAATCTTCCCACTCTGAAGGCTGAATTAAAAAAAAGATTGTTTACAGACCCCCGAAACGCCGGCTTCGTGTGGATGAGAGGCTGGTTTGGTGAAAAATTTGTGCGTTTAGGCCAGGGTTCGGCTTCGTGTGGACGGGGCCTAAATCTCTTCTAGTTCCAATAAGATGCTAAAAAAATGATATTTTGCATCTGCAGCAACTATGGAGATGGTTGCTTTTATTTAAACAAGTACAATGTTTGTCATCTCACTTTAAATATTGACATAATTGCTCTGCAAATGTTGTTATTGTACCTCACATTAGCAATCCAACCATATCATTTATGCCTTGTCGTCACCTGTAGCTTGGAGCAGCACGGATGGCAAAATGAAGACGATGCCCTTTTCTGTGCTGCAGCTGAACTCCACAGGTCAGTGTTGGCTAATTAGCCCTATTGAAAAAAATAATAATTTAATGTTGAGCCTCCTTTCAGAAGCTAGAATACATTCTAGCTTTTGAGTCATGCAAGATGAATATTGACCCACTTTTTCTCTTAGATCCAGCCTCAAATTCAGCTAAGATGCACTGGGTAAACCAAAGCAGTGTTGATGATCAGTGGTCAGGATTCAGTGAGTGGCTACACAACCCCCTAAGTTACTGCACCTTCTTTCATTAGGATGCTGTTCTTCATGTTTTCTCTGCTGCGTGTTATTCAGAGGGTGCAGCTGTAGACTCTGCCTCTGACTGGAATGCCCCAGCAGAGCACTGGGGAAACTATGAAGAGCCTCCTATACTGGTGGCAGCAGAAACATTGCAGAAGGATCAACCCAAGGTTTTGTGTAGCTATTTTACTCCCTTCAACACACTCCTGTTTTTATTGTGTATGCTAAACATGTATAAGGGATGATGAGGTCACTCATAAGTCTTAGGTCTGTGTATATTTTCTGTTTCATAGAACAGAATGTGTTCAGTAACCAGCAGCGGGGAACTAACATCAAATTCTTTTAAGGGGTTTTCTGTTTTCTTTTAAATGCATACCCTTGCATTAATATATAAAATGAAAAACCAACTTAAAAAAAAATAGTTTTATGTATTTAAAGATGTAACCAAACAAATACAGATATTTTCAAATGTTTTCATTTGGTTTTGAGCAGTGCCCTCTGCAGGCCGTATGACACACAAAAGAATAAGAATAAAATGGCTCTTGTTTGCTTAATTTAGGCTTGCATATGGGAATGAAAATAATTGTTGCTGGAATAAAAATAAAATAAAAGCTAAGTACGTGGCTTTTGGGACCTTCTGTCTCTATTTGAATGCTATTTTTTTTTCAGTAATTTAGTTAAACAGATGTTTATTTTATGACTGACATTAATTTTTTCTCCTGATATTAATGCATAACTTCCGTCCAAACCTCTACAGGTTGATATTGTGTGTTTTAAAGAAATCGTCATGGTTGCCTTTTGTTTTATAGAAGATATCTGAAGATGAAAAGGACATTGATAATCCCTCAGAGGGGGCAGCTAAAGCTAAGAAGAAGAGGAACAAGAAGAAGAAAACAGAAGAAGAGCCTGTGCCTGATGCTCAGGTAGGAAATTCGACTTGGGGCCCTCTCTTAAATCAAATATTTGGATCTAATTATTTCATTACTTAACCTGTTAATGTGTTCTGCTTTTGTTTGTTTTGTTTTTTTTTTTATATACGCAGACTCCAAGTGCAATGACCAAAGCCCCAGAGCGTCCTGCACTGCCTCTGAATTCGCAGAACACCAGCATATCATCCTCTCAGAGTGAGTTTTTTTTTTTTTTTTATAATAATAATAATAATAAACTATTCACAAGCTACTCAATCCATTCCTGTTTTAAAGGCTAAAACATCCACTCTAAATGTTCCTCTTTTGTTTCTGTCCTCCTCACACAGAGAAGTCTGAGCAGACCATCGAACCTCAGGAACCCTCCCAGAAGAAAAGGGTCAGAAAAGAAACCTGAAGGAACAACACAAGTCTGGACCAACCTTATGCAAATGATTAAATGTTTCACATGCAATAATTACCAGGTACATTTTTTTTTTGTTTTGTCTTAGACAGGTACCATTTAGATGATGGCAAAGAACAAATATATGTTGTACAGCAGTGAAAGGTGGTCCTATGGACTGTTAATTGCAACCAATTTTGCACTATTTGCTAAACTGCAGCCAGAGGAAGAGTATCAGATGGGCTTTTAGTAATACTACATGTTAATTGGTGTTTTTTGTTCCTCCTTTGTTTTTAAATCCAAAACGAGTTTGTGAAATTGTCAACACAGGTTTAACTTAAGGTTTAATTTAACTTTCTTGTCTTGCAAAATCTGAGTTGGGTTGAGGAAATTATGCACTTTCTTTTACTTTGATCTCCTGCCTCCTCACTGGGATGTACTTTTGCTAAAGGTAGAGAAGGATTTAATTTGGCTCTAACAAACAGCAACCCTGACATGCAAAACTTCCATCATACCCTGAATAGGCTGAAAGAGAAACCTTAGATCAGCTCTGTTGCTCAAAACTTTCAATGGTCTTTAAAAAACTTTATTTTTAAATTGAAAACTCTTTAAAACATTAAACATATTTTTCTGGTTATTTCACAGATAAAGTTAGAAGTTAACAGAGAGTCATCATTGGTATGAGTATTATATATTTTTAAACCTTTAAGGATTTGGGTTTTTTTATTGGTCCAGGTGAACTAATTTTATAAAATGCAGCTTTAATTATCTAAAATTAAGACTTTAAGATTTTACTTTTGCTTGAAAATTATACTCAAATTCTTATATATGCCCCTTATGATATTTGAATATGGGTCTCCAAGCAAACAGGTGGAAAGCTGCTTTTTTAACCTATTAACCGTTGTAATTCTGACAGGATATGTGATAGAAATATGGTTGATTCCTTATAATTTGCTAAGTTTCCTTATAACATAACCTTCTCAGCATAGTCTATACATTTTCAATTGGGATTTTCAGAAAACTGTTGCACTTTTTGATCTATTCAGTGTTCAGTTTGAAAGGATTTTAGGAGATCAATGATTATAATGGATCAAATCATTCCTGTTTTATCAACCACACAGTGTTCTGCTTTCAATTCTCAAGAAGTTGACATGAGTTGAAAGAAAGTTTTTTTTATCTGTATTATACCATCCAATTTTTACAGGACACTAGTAAAATCTGCAATCAAACAAAATCTCTTCCTAAGGCTGCCACTAGCTGGCAATTTGGTGTCTCACCTATTTAAATTAACTTAATACAAATATTTTTATTATTTTGGCCAAACAGATCTGCTTTTTTTTCTTTTTTTAAACCATAAACCTTTTCTTTACTTTAAAATGTCAGCCTAGTTTAATAACTTTAAAGTTGTTGCAGAAGCTTCATTCTTTTTCACAACTTTCTCAGCCATTTATGATGTAAAAGCATGCATTTTCAGCCCCTACACGATGGGTTAAAATCTTGCTGGTTTTGGATCAGCCAAACTTTTCTAGTAAGTGTTCTTACAGGATAAAAATAACAAACATGAATCAAAATGTATTTTGGATAGAATAAGCTAGGAGTTAAAGTCACTTGTTTGCCAGGAAAAAAGGAAAACAACTAGTTTAAATATTAGTGGAGTGCTATCCACAGGAGATAAATGTTTGTAGATTCAACCATGTACTCCTAAGGCTTTTATGGTATAAAAACTCCACCATGCAGAAGAAATGGGTTAAATGCATCGATAAAATTAGATAATCAGTAAAACATTTATGCCAATGATGACTGAATGCACGCTTTTGACCTGAAGTGAAAACAAATTTTAAGGTATACTCTGAGGAAAAGTGAGATCATCTGTGAGAAAACTTCATTATAAATACTTTCTTTATGATATAGTTTGCTGCAAAGGGTGTGATATTCCAGTGGATTCATTCATAGTTCGTGCTTGATTGTTTTTTTTTTTTTTTATATACCTAAACCCATTCGTTTAAATCAAAGATATCTTACTATTTCTTATTTTGTTGAAAATCGTGTAGGATGGCGTAAATTAAACTAAATTAAATCATTCCATTGATTCTCTTTTAGAAAGAAAGGATAATTATTTAAACAATCTGCTGTTATGTCATATGGATATTCTATAAAGATACGTTTGATTTCTTTAGGACATTCTTTAAAACGTTTATGTGTACAGACAGTCTTACTTTGCATTTTCAAATGAGTTTGGTCTTGTTATAGTAAAGAAAATTCATACTTTCCCAGTTATTTCTTCCACCCCACAGTTCGGGTGCGGCACATGTTGGGGTTTAGCTTGAACAAAATAAGTACAAATTTGGTTTAAGCTCCCCTGTGATCGCAGTAACTGGTAGAAGCCACCAGGAGGCACTGTAATGAAGCCTAATGGGGTCAAGTGATGAAAGTGTAATTTAACTAAATGCTGTCTTTTTACTTCCAAGTTGTGGCGATGATTAAGTCTGTCCTTTTTTTCTAAGTAACTTGTATGCTTTTAAAAAAAAAACTAATTATTCTGCTCTCTAAATGACTTTTTACAAATATTTCGTTCTAGTCTTAAACTAAAAAAGCCACGCCATATATATACATGTATATATAGATTGTAAGGGCTTTTTTCTAGGTTGTGATTACACTGTGAAAGAGACTGTATAGAAATTCCTTTTATTGTAAATTGATTGTTTTTAACCTTTTTTTTTATGTAAAATACATTTTCTCCTATCAGGAAATAATTGTGAAGAGAAGCAACAAAAAAATAAATTAAAAAGTTTCTTTCAAATTGTAACATTGAGCAGTTTGAACTTTTTAATTCAAGATGAACTGAGAAATGCACTCATTTACACAATTGTACATTTGCATTAAAAAGGAATTTATATCTTCTGCCTTAATCTGCTGTATAGAAAGTCAATGGGGGGTCCTTTTTATGGTTTCCATCCATTTGCAAGTTTTGATGTCAGAATATTTTTTTTTATTTTTGTATTTTACTTGACTGTGGTAATGGTAGTTGCTGATAAAGATACATGAAGGACCAGTCTTTTGTGCTTTATTTTTTTTTCTAGGGTACATTTTTCTATAAATAACATGACATATTTTTTTTTCTTCCTTGCAAACTCTATACTTTCTATAGGCATCCATTTTATCTGGCTTCTTAAGGACTCAAAACATTAAAATGTTTATTGGCTGTTGGTCATTAATGTTTATAGATCTGAACTGATGTTACACTGTGGCTTTGGGTGACCCTTTGTTCAGTTTTTACAGATGATTTTAATGTATTTATACAGTTGTGTGTAGAAGATCTTTTTGTGAATGATTTTTAAGGACATTATGATGATTTGTTTGCTTGAGAAGGAATTAAACAAATTCTTCTAATCACTTTGTGGATTTTATTGTGCCCGATGCCACAAGGAAAACATTTCATAAGGTAAAGCAGGCCGTTTGTGAAACACAATTTATAGACAAGGCAATTGAAATGGCTTTGTGTAAAAATCAAGGAACGGTATAAAAAAAAGAAAAAAAAAAAAACATGCATCATTAGTATGAAAAAATGTTAGTGTCACATGTACTCTGGTCTTGCGAGGACACAGACGTACTAAGCTGTCTGTTGTTGGCATACTGTACACAATTTAAGGGGTGTAGATTTCCCCCATCTTAAATAGAGAGTTAATAAATTAAACTGCCTCGAAAATGAATCTTTATGGAACCTGACAATATTTGTTCAAATTTATAATAATTAAAATATTGTTTGTGGTTCAAATGTACCATATATTGTATTTAGCACAGTACCAGACACTTCAGCAACATTTTATCTCTCTAACAGTATGTTATAATTATCAGCAGTGTCTAGCACACTGAAATCCAGTGGTACAGAGAAGTTTTTAATTGAACAAGATCTCAGAGCAACCCCATATATAATGGATCAACATATCTGTGACCCCGCATAATGTTCAGTTGATTTAGTTTGATCTGTAAGATTCCTAAGAAGTACAAAGAGAAATAAAAATATATTTTTTTGTACTTTTTTTAATTGTTCTCTCTAATATTAATGAGAAACATACTGTCTAAGCAGAGTTATTAGTGCTTTACTTTGCTCCATGTTTCCTAGTTTTATTGGTTTAATTCCTATTTTGTTTGTTTCTAGATTTATGTTAGTTCTCAGGTTTTTCTGTTGTATTCCTCTGTTGCCCTCTTGTGTGTTCCTTTCCCCTTGGCTCTCTCGTTGTCTCCTCACACCTGCTCTTTGTCAGCTCGTTAGCCCTGCCATTGTCTCAGTCAGCTACATATACTCTTCCTTTGTAGTCACTCCTTGTTGGTTCCTTGTTGTTGCTGGTCCTGTCGTCGCTGTTCTCTGCTCGCCTCGTCTTTCCCTGGCTCCTTGTGCGTGTTTTCCCCTGATGTCTCCCTGGTTCTGGTTTGTGTTACATTTTTAGTTGGATTTTTGGATTTTGCCACTGTTATTGTTTGCATTAAAAATACAAGAAATCACCTCAGCCTCTCTGCCTCTGCATTTGGGTCCTCTGAACCACAACCAAAACGTGACAATCACTGTTGACTGATATCTGTTTGTATGCCCTAAACATAGAACTATCCTCAATAAGCTGAGAATCGACCCTTTGTTTTGGTCTGAATCTGTGTCAGCAGCCATGCGCTTCCCCTCTCCAGGCCGAACCACTGCCTCAGTCAATGTGTTGAGGCAGTCGCGTGGCATATTACTCACAGTGCCTGACCCCCTTTGCTGCATCTCTCTCTCTCCCTCCCTCTAGCTCCATCACTTATCTTTTAGTTCATTTAGGATTTAGCAGCTTTTAATCTCCCACATTATGTGCATTCGTCTGCAGCTCAGTGGATCATCACTGTATATTCTAATACTGACAGATAAAAAAGCAACTCCAGAAAAAAACACCTGCAATTATTTGGTCACTTTTCAATAACTAAATACTTTCAACATTTTGGATTTTCAGTTATGTTAGAGCCTAAGCTTTCTACAATATTTAAATATGTGGAAACAGAAAAACTATTGAATTTAGATGTGTTTGAGTGAACATTGAATGAGGCAG